AGGTCACATAGCTATTAAAAGGTAGAGCTACTTCCAAACTTGCAGTTTTCTGACTCCAAAGCTCGTGCTCTTTACAGCCACACCAAACTGCTAGGTTTTTCCTTCAATCAATAATAATAATAATAAAAGTAATACCTCAGAGGAGGTTAACTAAACTATAAAGTGCCAAGGAACCCTGGTTTAGTAAACAAAAAAAATATTAATACATATTTAAAATTAGCTCACCACTTATTTTAGGTAATACTTACCTGCCATTTATGAAGTAACTACTTCACACAAGGCATTTCTATACATTAAAACTGACTCTCACAACCACCTCATAAAGCAGATAACTATCTCCATTTTACAGATGGAGGAAATACTCAGTGAAGCTAAGGTCACATAACTAGTAAATGGCCTAGTGTTTGCACTATGCGACACTACTTCATTACCTCTCTTATAAGGTCTTTCTCTAAAGTGCTGGAAAAGTCTGCTTTTTAAAGTGCCATCCCCCTGCAATTTTATTTATACTATTTATTAGCTCAGCGAAGCTTTAGTTCAGAGACAATGCAAAGGTAAACTTTAACCCAGGCCCCAACCTCATTTTCATAAATTCCAAATTTAGTGAGGTCCATGTTAATGGGTTTTACTGTATATGGAAAAGAGTTTAATAGTCACTTAGCACTGCTCTATCCATTAATAAATCTAAAAAGCCACACAAAGGTGAAGGAAGGAAGAACAGTGACCTCAAAACTAAAACAGATAAGGAGTGCCTATAGTTTGTACTCCCGCAGAAAAGTCAGAATATTAAACAGCCAATACATAACAACAAATTCAGTCTTACAAGTTTATATGTTCATTCATCAATTAAAGAAAATTAACCTAATCAGATGCTCATATTAAGGAATGCAGCCATAGCAAATCAGCAATCATAATTAAAAGTCCATTTCAAATCTCTTTGGTGTGCAGTGGAATGATCTAACAGCGAGGCTGCCTGGCTCTTTCCACTGTGTTGTGTAAAATGTGCACAGTATGTAGTCATCCCTAGCTGTTGAACATGTTCATCTTTGCTACTCATGCTGCACTTGTTTCTGACGCAGATATGCTTCTATGTGCACACTGAGTGGGAAACATGTAAAAGATTTGACAGTGAAAAAAGCACATGTCTGCAACACTGTTCCCACCAGGCCTACAGCCAGTTCCATAATATATGGGAGTTTTTTCCCCCTTGTAGGTCATCACCATACTGAAAATATTCTAAAAAAATCCTACATGCTTCAGAGGAGGCCACCTGAAGCACTCAGTATCCCACAACTCTGTCAAGTTGCATCATGCTTTTTTCTTTTCTTTAGGCCAGCTTGTGAAAGAGCTATCACATGCCTCTCTGCAAGGCACACAGCCTTGGGACACAAGCAAAGTAATCCAGGTAAAGGATAGCCAACTATTCTTTAGGCCTGATGCACTGTGGAATGGGTGTCAGAAGCAGATTTCGGGTCCCTTATAGTCTGGCCAGACTCTCAATAGGTCATCTATCATTTCTTTTATAATTGATTTTGATTTCAAGTCACTGGAAAGCATTACTGAAAAAGAATATGGAGTCTTACTCTTTGGAGTATTCAATGTCATAGCAAGAAAAAAATCTTCTTAGGTGTGTTAGATAAATTGAGCATTCTCAGAATCCTTCCCAACCTATGAGTTCCTCATTATTATTAATCAAATATCTAGCAGTCTACTTCTAGGAATCTATCTTACAGAAATAGCAGCACAAGTTCACAAAAACAAAAACATTACCATGTTCACTACAGTGTTATTTGCAATAGCAAAAGTATTAAATGACCTAAATAGCCAACAGTTGAAGTATGATTCATCATGGACCATCCATGCTCCGGAACACCGTGCAGCCATTAAAAATAACATAGTATGCCTCTATATACCGGCATGAAGCTATGTTCAGAGAAAAAAGGATGGACAAAATGTATAGTGTGATACCATATTTGGAAAAAATACAACTGTGTATATACACAAATATATGTGTATAAAGAGAAATTATATGAAAAGAAATATATCTGTCTTAGAGATATATAAGTATAAATACATAGTTATGTGTATTTCTGTTATGTGATATTCAATTAAAAACATTTCTATTGCCGGGCACAGTGGCATGCACCTGCAGTCCCAGGTACTCAGGAGGCTGAGGCAAGAGGATCACTTGAGCCCAGGAGTTTGAAGCGATAGTGTGCAAAGACAGTGCCTGTGAATAACCACTGCACTCCAGCCTAGGCAATACAGCAAGACTCTATCCTTAAAAAAAGTTTCTATTACATACTTATATAAACATATATTTGCATATGCATAGAAAAATCAGAAAGGATATACATTAATAGTGGTCACTTCTGGAAAGTGCGTTGGGAAAGACAAAAATTTAACTTTTTACTTGTACAGATATGTGTTGAGGTTTCTAAAGGACTCTGCAAAATTGACACTTTCCTTTCCTAGGTTCTGAGCAAGTTAAAAAAATACAAAAATAAAACAGATGGCGAACCAGAATATAACCTTTATTACTGACTGCAACCAAGGTAGAGGAGGTAGCTTGGTCTGAAATTCAAAACACATCTGGCTACACTGGCCCCTGCCTGTGATCCTAGCACTTTGGAAAGCCGAGGCAGGTGGATCACTTGAAGTCATGTGTTCAAGACCAGCCTGACCAACAGGGGAAGTTCCATCTCTACTAAAAACACAAAAAGTAGCCAGGTGTGGTGGCACACGCCTGTAATCCCAGCTATTTGGAAGGCTGAGGCGCAGATCAAGTGAACCTGAGAGGCGGAGGTTGCAGTGAGCCAAGATTGTGCCACTGCACTCCAGCCTGGGCAACAGAACAAAACTCTCTCTCATATATTAAAAAAAAAAAAAAAAGAATTACATAATCTTGGCAGGCCAGGACAGCAAAAGCTGGGATGAGCCCCCAGCCTCAGGGAAAAAATGTATGCTCTTGATAGGCAGGCCCTTCCCCAGATAGAACGAGCATGGCCGGCAGTAAGCTGAGCTAGCCCACTTATTCACCCCAAATTTACCAATTAAGTAAGTCACTCCCCTATAGGGCAGAGTGAGAAAAGCAGATCAAGTAGGAGTATTATCTTTGTCTGAGAAAGTAGTTTTAGCACATCTGGGGTGGTTGAATCCAGACTGCAAAGGGTTAAAGAGTAAATGGTGAAAAGGCAGAGGCTACAGAGTAGACAAGTCAAGAAGAATTGAAAGAAAGGAGGCTGGGAGCAGGAAATTTAAAAAAAAATATTTTAAAGGAAGAGGCCAACAAAATGTCAAAGGTGGAAAATTGAAGAGACAAAATAATTTACAGGGAGAGTCTAAACATAGTGATGGAATCATGGACATAAGTGAATGTGGCCACCTCTTACTGAGACATGAACAAAAGGGAAGGAAGAAAAGTTGAGTTCTTATCACAGGACCAATTCTGTAAAAAGAAGGATAGATCCTCAAGCTAAATCCAGAAAACAAAAAATAAACTTGCAGACTGTCAAAGAGCTGGCTGTGCTGCAGTCATGATAAAACTCAGCAGAATCAAGACCTACTTGTAAATGTTTTATCAAACTGGGAAAAGTACAAGAAATAAGTGATGTATTATTTGTAACACTGCTTAGATTAGTATTGATATGTACATACTCTCCATATTATCCAAAATCATGCATCATGACATCGGTCGACATGCTCCTTTGTCCATGGGAACCTTAAGGAATAAAGTTTTTCATAAGAAACTCTGAGTGATTTCAGCTTGACTGGCTCTGGGTAATTTTTCTTTGCAATTCTGGCTACCATTCTACCATATGCCCCAAATCACAATGCAGGATAAAGTAAAATCAAACAGACCAAGGATTGGTGGGAAGAGTCCTATTCTACAAGTCTGGCTCCATACTTCTAACTGATAGAGACTGAAATGTCTGCACTGGAAACGTTTCTGTATTTCCACTGATCTATGTTCATACCATGGTTTCCACAGCATCAGAAGTTTCAGTAAGAAAAGGCTTCTTCTGGTAAACAGATTCCTTTGGGTAAAAAAAAAAAAAAAAAAAAAAAAAGAAAGAGGGAAAGGCTTCGTATTTTTCAACAGCCCCCTTGATATTCTTTATCAGGTTTTAAGGTTATGTTCCAAGTCTCTATTCTTCAATGTGATTTAGCTTTACAACCAGCTGCCCCCACTTCACTAGCAGTTTTTGACGTCATCCAGACTTTGCAAAATGTGTGCTACAGCCCCTACTCGGGCTTCTCAGCTGCTGTGGAAGTTATACTGCATTTGGTTAAGTGTGGAGGCTGGCACCAGAGAGGATCCATGATGGTGATTATCATGCAAATCAGCCTCCTGCAAGTCAAGCTCCTCCGTGGAGGCCTTCCAGCTCTGCTTCCCCCAGGGCCGCTCCATTGTCCCCAGCATAAAGCTAACCATCTTCGCTGCAGACACTAGACGTCGCTGAGATTGGTTCTCCTGACAGAGATTAGCGGGCAGCAATGAATCTTTCACGTGGGGTAGAAATATGATTTTATTTAAGAAAATAACCATACATAATTGGGCTTCTGTCACTTTAAATTTTAATGGTGAGAGTAATATGGAGGCTTCTGGAACTTTAAATTACGGCTTTCAGAAGCTTCACACTGAATCTTTCAATTATTCTCTGTAAGTACTTTCTCAAAGCATGTGCCACCATGACATTGATATCACAATTCAAATCTAAATTCAAAACTGACTGCAAGGCTATGAGCTATGTGCTGGCGTGCATGCTGCCTCATTTTATCTTTGAACATCTGACGAGGCGAATCAAGAGGCGTTCTCCCGGAGCCCAGCCAGCTGTTTGCCAAATATTCAAATGCCCTGACATGCAGAAGAGCCTTTCAGATTTCCCCACATCAAAATTAGCAACGACCCCCTATTCTTCCCATTAGCTTCTGGCTCACCTACATCCTTTCACGCAGGCCCGCCTGACTCACTCAGCTAAGTGCTTGCTCTCGCTCACCTCTCAGGTTCCCCGACTCCAGCAATTGGATCTGGTGTGTGCTGCAGAATGGCAGCCAGTTCAGACAAAACCATGGGGGAGAGTTTTCAAGTCAGTGTTTCCTTGAAGTGGATCTGAAAGAGTGGCTGAGCTGATATTTGCAGTAGTAGGAAGGCAGAGAGCAAAGACAGCATGCAGGTTTTACTTACAATACATTCATTAGGCCGGAACAAAAACTGAAATTGGAAAGACAGTAGCCAGGGAAAAGTGAAAAGGCTTTCCTTTTCCTTTTATTTTGGTGTCAACTTCCTTGTTATATATCCATTTTATCATTTTTAATATTTTTATCTTCATATTAAAACAAGTGGAAAGGCACCTTTTTCTTTATAGGTCTGGCTTTAGACTGCTTCAATTATTTTTAAATGTGTCCCCCTACCTCAGTAAACATAGCACCACATTTACAACTGTAAATAACTAATCCAGCTGCACATTGGTTAATCTACAATGAAAAACAACCCTTCTTTCACATTTTAAAGGTCCTGGAACAATTTTCCTCAGCTGGATGACTTAGAACAGAGGCTGTGAACAGCACCTGGGGAGTTTAGAATGGGAAAGGGACTAAGGTGCCAAGTGTCAAGACAACAGCCCCTACCCCAGTGGCTGGCAAAATTTCCTGAAGCTGGACATCAAAACCCCAGGACAGCTGGGTGAGGGGTTCCTTCATTCCTTCCGGATAAGCTGGGTCTTTACTTGTTCATTTCCTATAATGTGTTTATACTTGGACAGAAGGGGCACAGCAGGAATGCTTTCAGGGCACATTTAGGGGGAAGCCACTCTCACAGGAATTGTGAATACCAGATGTCAAACGAACCTGTGCTGCTGAGAATTCTCTGAGCGGTATGCAAGGGGCACCATTTCTCGTCTGAGGAAACTCTGCTGTCCTGATCCAGGGCCTTTCCCTAGCTGCAGGCGAAGGCAGATAGAAATCCTTTCATTTTTATAATAATAATAAAAGAAGCTGCTACTGTGAGCCTAAAATTGCCTAAGAACTAGATAGGCTGATGGCATTCCAGTTCTGCCAGTAAAGTCTATTCATTCTCTCAACCCAAAACAGCTTAAGTAACTCGCCTCGGGAAACCATGGGTGGCAGAGGCAGGATGACCACACGTGGAATGGCCATAAACAGACATCAGTCAACACCCTTGCCCCAGCATTATTTCCTGAATACAGGCTCAAACATTGCTTTGCACTGGGATCAGGATTACGGTGCCCAAGTAGGCACTCTTCTAAGCCACTGACCACGGACAGAGAAAATTTTTTAAATCCACATTGATTTCCAAGTCCAAAGTAGTACAATTACAAATATTGTCTTAGTTTAATACTGAAGGCTTATACAGTATTTCAAATATAAAACAGTCCTACATAAATCATTCACTCAAACCTTTACTGTGCTCCTATCATATGCCAAGTACTCTACTTTCATGAGTCAGCACTGGCTAAAGAATAATGTCAATACTACTAGATGTCTCTGCAAAATTTAGCACTGTGGCTTACCTCTCCATCTTAAAGCTCTCTCTTTACTAATTCCTCTTCCTCAGTGCTTGTTGGTTCATTAAACCAACAAGGGGTGAGGAGCAGTATAGCAAAATCACCTGGGGGACATATTTTTCACACTGCACAGATCCCCTTCACTCCAATTTGAGAATCATTGCTTATATGAACCCCTCACTATTTCTAGCTGCAGTAAGTTACTTCTCTTAAGAGCTTGGGGATGAACAAAACAAAAGTTGAAGATCTCTGTACCAAATATTTTCTCTAGATGATGTCATCTACTCTCATGACTTCAAGTATGTACCAACTACATACTGATGACTTCAAAAATAATATTTTAAGGACAAATCCATATGTCCAAATGCCTAGTACACCTGTTTTCAACTGACCTACTATCACAAACTCTACAAGTGTAACATCATTATATTTTCTAATATATATAATTTTATAACTTACATCAAATTATAAATGGTATAACATATTTTTTTTCTTAATAGTATTAGTATTTCCTCTATGATCCAAAATAACTAGCCATATTTATAAACCTCCTTCACACTCCCCATTCTCACTCCACATAGATCAAATCTGTCACCAGGTCCTTTCTCTTCTTCCTTAGGAACACATTTCAAATGTATCTATCTACCATTTACCATATCCCACTTGGACCCCTACATCAGCCTCCTTATTCCTCCCTAGCAGCAGCCTTTGCACTTAAAACTACTCTCTACATGCTTCTGATTCCTACTGATTAAAGCAGGAAATTGTTGAATGCACTACTCATAATATACAGATGATTTCTGATAGCAAACAAACGAACTTCTTAAATACTCATATTTTAATAGGTTTCAAAAAACAGAATTAATACATCAAACTGGGTGTCAAGTTAATAAGTTTGCTTTAAAAATAAATTTCAGTATAAAACTCAGGCAATTTAAAGAAATATTAATCTATTCAGGTAGTGTGAGATGTTTTAAAAAAGATAAAAGCAGTACATGAATCAATGAAGTGGGGAAGCTTGGTACTAGAAAGCAGGTCTAAACTCCTTAATATGGTATCAGATATCTTAAACTCCTTGACATTCTCTTCATTTTCAGCTTCTCCCTCTTTCTATATTCTCTGTACTTTACATATAACTTCTGCGTATCAGCTTTGCTGCAAAACAAAACACCCCAAATTTACTAGCTAAAACAACATTTTACTTAGTTCCTAAGTCTGTGAATGGGCAGGGCAGTTTGTTCTGTTTGAGCTGGGACCCCAGAGAGATGAGGGAAATCTGGGCTAACTGATTTCCCCTGGACTCTCCCATGTGTTTGTGATCAAATGGTGGCTCAGCTGGTAATTAGATGATCTCACTCATATGTTTAGCAGTTCAATGACTGTCAGCAAGAACCTCAGTTCTTCTCTGAGTGGCCATTCATCCTGCAGCACAACAACCTGGGCTCACTGACATTACAGTCACAGGGTTCTAAGTGCAGAAGCCCCAGTGCATGAGTCTAAACTATTTGCTAATATCCACTGGTCAACGCAAGTCATATGATCAACCCCAGATTCAGAATAGAGAGAGACTCCACCTCACCCCCACCCTTTTTTTTTTTTTTTTTTTTTTTTTGAGACGGAGTCTCACTCTGTTGCCCAGACTTGGAGTGCAGTGGTGCAATCTTGACTCGCTTCAATGTCCACTTCCTGGTTCAAGCAAGTCTCCTACCTCAGCCTCTTGAGTAGCTGGGATTACAGGTGCACACCACCCCGTTTGGCCAATGTTTTTGTATTTTTAATAGAGATAGGGTTTCACCATGTTGGCAAGACTGGTCTTGAACTCCTGACCTCAGGCAATCTGCCTCCCTCAACTCCACCTCTTTTTTTTTTTTTTTTTTTTTTTTTTTTTTTTGAGACGGAGTTTCGCTCTTGTTACCCAGGCTGGAGTGCAATGGCGCAATCTCAGCTCACCGCAACCTCCGCCCCCTGGGTTCAGGCAATTCTCCTGCCTCAGCCTCCTGAGTAGCTGGGATTACAGGCACGCGCCACCGTGCCCAGCTAATTTTTTGTAATTTTTAGTAGAGACGGGGTTTCACCATGTTGACCAGGATGGTCTCGATCTGTTGACCTCGTGATCCACCCGCCTCGGCCTCCCAAAGTGCTGGGATTACAGGCATCAGCCACTACACCTGGCCCACCTTATCTAATTTGAAGTGCACCAGACAGGGCAATGCTCCTATCCAAAAGCATTTTTTCCTGTGGGACTGGCACAAAGCCTGAACTTCCAGCATAGTTTATTCAAGGTCAGAACGTGTTTTAATGTAGTACAAACAACACAGGCTCTAGAGTCAAAAATACTACTAGGACTCAAAACCTAACTACCTGTGTGACACTGAAAATTCATTTTGTATATGTCTCTGCACCACTTTTTTCATCCATACAATTACCTGTGTTGCAGTAACAACAGCAGCTAGCACAGTGCCTGCCACACACTGGACACTCACCTCAAATCACTAAGTCTCCTGTTTAAAAAGCAAATGATCCTGGCAGGGGGTAACCTCAAGCCCTTTTTATTGCCTTCTGAGAAGAATGGGAAAAGGGTAAAGGGAAGAAGAGTGTGAAAATGAAGAGTAGCAGATAAACAACTTCACAATTTTACTGAGAGCTAGGCTTTTGGCTAGAAATGAAACAGTTACATCAGTTTTTGGAGACCAAACCAAGGAATAAAAGTACCCCCCTACCCCCAAGCCCCCCGCAATCTCAGGGCATAAATAACCATTTCTGGTAATATAGGACTTGGGAATTGCATAATTTAGGACTTTGGGACTTATACAATTTTTGCTGGGTATCAATATGCCCATACTTGCATAGTTTTTCTGGTCATCAATATGGAATCACCATTTATAAGTATGCTTAGGCGAGACTACTGAAGTTAGTTAAGGAAGAAACAGAATTATTTAAATGTTACTCTGACATATTTCTTGTATATTCCCTCACCTTTGTCCCTCATCTAAAAGGGGCAACTGTAATTGTAGTAAACAATTTTTTTCCTCCCTACCTAAGGATACAATTTTTTTGAGTGAGAAAAATTTAAAGGACACTACAAAACACATAATTATAAACTTGAAATTATAGCACTTCTAAAGGAAATGTTGCCATTGAAATCAAAATAAGGTAGGTTTATTACACTTACATCCTCTTTCAAAGTAAAGCCAAGTTTTAATAAAATGTTTAAGTTTCCGAAATCCAAGCAGGAACTCCTATGAGAAGTCCCTGTATTTGTCCCTCCTGAGGCTATTCTCACATCTCAGTGGCAACCCTGAAACACTTCTGCACTTAGGGAGCACTAAACCAATCTACATTTGTTGAATTCTAGCCCTGTAAATGAGACTGCATTGTTACCCGTGATCTTTCACCCTAGCTACATTGTGAACTCCCTGGGACCCAAGATTCTGTTTTCTGTGTTTTCCTAGTCCTCCTCTCTCCACCCTCAGCACCCAGATTTGACTCAATAATTGTTCATTTATGGCTGACAAGGAAATGTATAAATAGCACTTGCTGACAGTAAATTCTTTGGTTTGTTCAAGTTCAGACCAAAACCTCTAGAGATCCTAAAGACTGAAATGACTATGGTGCCCCCATCCACATGTAAATTTAAAAAATACTAAACCATAAAGGACAAAATGTACCTGTATGCTTTTAAATTAAAATAGCTTCTGATGGCAAAATTCTAGGCAAGCTCATCAAAGGCTTAACTAACTCTTCTTCATTATTTTCCCTCCCCATTGTAGGAGCATACATGTGTATGTGAAAAAGCAAGAGAGAGAGAGAGAGAGAGAGAGAGAGAGAGAGATGGAGAGAGAGGGAGTGAGTGAGGATGAATGTGTCTGTGACTTCCAGCACTTTGTCTGCTATAGGGTACTCCAATTCTGGGTCCTCTTCATAAAACTATGTCAAAATACTAATTATGGTTATGGATGCTATACAGTATAGAACGAGAAATCAAATAATTCCCTAAATCCATATGTGTATTTGCTGTTCTCTTGTTAAGTATCCAAATTCTATTTCAGGTTTTTAGGAAGACAACTTTACACATTATAAATAGAAGCAATGTAAAAATTGTTTCACCTGCTCTTACAATTGTATTATGGTTGTGTGTGGAAAAGGAGATACAGCAAGTGATTGTCAGCAAATCACTCATAAAAATGTGAGAAGCCCAAGTTCTTTGCACTTTATTTCATTAGACACCAATATTTGATAAAAGCAATAAGCACCAAAGTATATTTAGATAAACCTTCCATAAATAATGTTCAAAGTAGTCACAAAGTTTATAATGCAGATGCTAATTACAGTGCCAAATCTACATTTCAGTTAAAACTATTTTCACATACAATGTGATTATCATATTCATAGTAACAGATACTAATATTTCTATTAAACCTGAATAGATTATGCTTAGCCATAATTGTTTCAATGGATCTGTTTCCACTTTTGTATTTTAAAATTCAAGCATGTTTCCTAAGAGTTGAATAGTTTATTCTGATGTACGTAGGTAGACTTGTCTTAGAAAATGTTTGGATATCTAGGGAAGTGGCATCAGAAAAATCAGAAAATGCTTGTGATTATATAGGTAATTCGCTTCTGATTATATAAGTACTTTTAAAACAGTAAAAATTTTACAACCTATATTGGCACTGAAGTACAGCTAGAATGCAAATTTAATAATAAAATGGAATAATTTAGTAGTTTGTTTTGTGATCAGATCTGATTGGTTCTCTCTAAGACATATTCAATTCTTAAAAATTCCCTTTGTGGCTTTGATCTAGGGGTGGAGTGCATACTATGTCCATTAAATAGGAAGCCAAGGATTACTTGAACAAATAATATTATGGCTTTGTAGAATGACTAATGGTCTTTGCAAAGGCCCAGACTGGTTTCATCTTTCTTAAGATTTTATCACTGATCTGTTCGTAGTCATGTGCAGTCACTAAAGGCAGCAGAGGTAACAAGTGTTTGATGTATGATACTCGAGCCACTTTTGTCAGAGCTGCATTTATTTTTATGCTACACTCATTCTTGGTACTCTTACATGTACATGGTTCTTTTATTTTTTCTTGTTTCCAGTGATGGGTCAGATATAGCAATTATAATAACACTAACCTCTAAAACTCTACAAAATAACAAATATACACTTCTTTGCAAGGGATGACTTTCCATTGCAGATTAAATAAATGACCACAGAAGCAAGCATCCTAATATAAGAGCTTAACTCTGTTCACTGCCATATTTGCACAGCTTACAAAATATCCCTTACCTTTTAGCACGTATTATCAATTTCAATTCAATCCATCCTTTACAATCTGCAGCAAGTCACAGAAGTGCTCTTCTAGTTAAAAGGAAATTTCAAGGGAGGAGGGATGTGGAAAAACACATTTAATTTATTCTATTGAAAGGGAACATTCTAAATGATTTCCAAGCACTTCTGCATCTTCTTACACACTGCAAATCAGTTCAGATATCTTAATCAGTGGCTACAAACATATCCTTATCAGTAACATATTCATGAAAGATGGTATGTGTATGAGCTGCAAAACGTTTGGCAGAAATCCAAGAATACAAAAGAAAGAATATGGTAAAGAATTGATGGAATGTATTTGTTTCAACCCTATTCATTTTGGGAATTTTTTAGCATCTCTGTTTGTTCCATTTGGAAGAACAATAGACAAACCAACAGAATGTCAGGTTTCTGTGACTTGACTTCATCTATATACAGTTATACATATTGTACAATGATCCAGGATGGAAGCATATCTATAGACACTGATGAATATAAGTACATAATATATACCTTCTTGTGTCTCTCTCTTTCTAAATTTTTCTATTCATGGTATTATTTTATGCAGAATTTAGTGCTTTTCTGTTTTGACAGTCTAAGCACTGATGAAACACTGTTTCATGAAATCAAGAGTAGTCTTTGACAATTAATTTTTGCAGTCAATGGTCTTCTTAAAATGGGCAACTCCCCTTGGAACTTAGGAGCCACAACAGCAGACTGTGTGAGTGAGGGAGCGAGACAATTCATTAGCCGATTCTGCAGCAACTCAAAGTGGCGGGGGATGTCAGTCCCTGCTTTGGTGCTTCAATACTAATGAGAGTCATTGCATATTCATAACCCCAAATACAGTCAGCTTCTTGTAAAAACTTTTGTCACCCAGGCTTCATGGCAAGAGCAAAGCACTGCACTCTTCTTGTCGTGGCACTTCCGCCAAGTGAGAGTGAGAGCAAGATTGATTGTTTTGCAATGCTGCCTGACGGGGAACTAAAAGATGCTGCCCCAAGGGTCCTAAAACTGCTTAGTTTGATTGCAAAGCTCCAAATAATCAAAGAAACAAAAAGGAGGCCTTGGTGGTAAATGTGTATGTTGATATATACATATACACACATATACACCATTGCATTAAAAATATATCAAAAAATACTCCAAACAAAACATTTGGCTTATTCAGAATTCAGAGTAATTATCTGTTAGGAATATAAATTCTTAATATGCTAAAAGAAGAATGGTGTGCAGCAGTAAACTTGTTTTTATGTTGCAGAAACGCCATGGCATATCTTAATAGAACCAGATTTTAAAACTGTCTGAAGTTTCCCATCATTATCAATACCAAAGCTTAGTGAACTGAACCTGTCAGTTCTGCCAAATCTAGAGCTACCTGGAATCGAGTTCCTCAGGCGCCTTTTTGTGTTGTCAATGTCTCCCTTGCTTTATCATCATCATCATTATTATGAGTGTCCAGAAATGAGCCATCCAGTGTGCCTGCCAGGAAATCCTAAGGGGCCAGCACTATACCATCTGACCCCAAAATACTTGTCTGTTGGGGGTAGCTACCAGCATCCCCTGGAGTCAGAGAAGGGAAATGTATGTTTCAGCACCCACTTTGAAAAAGCCTTGAGCATTTTTTCACTCGTAATGATGTCTTCAGCTGGAATGCCAGCACACTTACACATTTTTCTGACAGGCATACAGGCTATAAACTACTCATAAAAATTAAATAAAACAGGACAGTGAAAGAAAACTTTCTAAATTTGATCACATTTGAGTTGTTAAAAGTTATTTCCAGATGCATAATGTGTATAAATATCTGCATAGCTAAAGACAAATCAGGACTACTGAGATGATGGTGGGGGAAAGATGATGAGGTGTTGTGGGGGATGGGTCTCACCAAACTGTTTTATATCTTAGTCACAGACACACAAGCTTTGAAAATAGACGGATTTGTGTTTATGATTGATTGAGGTAACTGATTATCCACAGATATTTTAAGTGTTGAGACATTAAATTGTCAGCTCTATCAGTTTGATTGCAGTAAAACATGAAAACATTGACTTTTGTCTAGTTAGAGAAATTTATTTTTCCCAGAATGACAATCCTTTAAGTAGACGCCAGGCAGCTTGCCAGATTTCCATGTCATACACTGAAGTTTGCAAATGCAACCCATATTTTCAAGTGTTTTTCAAGGTGCAATGAATGGTGCATAGGTCTTTTGCAAATAGTCTCCTAATAAACAGAATTCTGCAGTATGCTTCATTCTGTTAACCCAAGAAAACTATTTACTCATTTTGAAGACAAAAAACACATTGTAGCTTTGTATCCATGGGAGTATATGTTAACAGTGCTCTTCACTTACTTAAAGTATCTCTCAAAAATAAAATAACCCTCTTTGGACCACCACACTGTGAACAAGTTTGATTAATATGTTTTATAAGCCTGAAATAAATGCTCATCATAACTGTCAGTAGGCTGACAGCTTTCAAAAGTCTTTGTTCCCAGAATGAGTAATTTGTCTGATCTTCTTTAAAATACCATATTCCCATCTAAAAGGAAGATGTTAAAATCAAGTAAATTCTACTAAAATTTGATTGTCATTAAAGCAGCCTTGTATTCTGAATCCCTGTATGAACTATATGCATGTATACTAATTAACAAAATAAAAATACCACATCTTACTTATTATCATTGCTTGTCAGAACACCTGTGCTTTTCACTGGGCAGAACTGTGGTTCAGTGTTTAAAACCTAGTCCATTATATGAATGAAAAATGTCAGATGTCATATATAGTCTATCTTTTTAATAAAATTTGACTAGGAAATCATTACTAGGCCTGATGATTTCAATAAAAACACCAGTCAAAAGACAGATATGGTCATTAATTCTACTGAAATACCAACATCTCTATATTTGCTGCATATATTTTCCAAGCATTTATCATGATCATTAAAATGCAGGATGTTCCAAAGACCAGGGGATAGCACTGAGCCCTTCATATCTGAATTCTGCAGACAGCAGATTATACCTGGTGCTAGGAAAGGTGCACATAGAGGGTACCTAAGTAGCTGAGCAAGGCTACACCAACTAGAACAACAAACACTTCTTCCTGACCCTGTTATTCAATCATTTGTGTCCTGGAGCACTGGATTTGGTTACTCTTCTTACCACATCTTAGAGAGTAAAATAACTATTATAAATGGTCATTAAATTATCCATTCCCCTATTTCTTCATTCCAACTATTGCTGATGCTACATAGCTGTTCCATGGCAGAACTTTACAAAGCACCCTGCCTGTACGCTGCCTACGATTACAGCTTCTTTTGTCAGCATGCTTTCCTCCTTAATTTGGTATTACCTGCTCTCATACCATGACCACAAAGGTTTAAATTACAGATCATTTCTCACATCTTTTTTGTGTAATTTCTATTTTTTCTAATCTCTAAGAAAGGCTCATTTTATAATAGTATGTCACATTTGTCCATAAGAAGTCATTTTTCATTTTGTTATTTTTCAAATAGCCAAGAAACCACAGGCTTTGTACATGCTATCACTGGGGCACTGTGAGCATTACTGCTCTTCTTGTTCATTTTAATACATTCATTATTCAACTTTTAATAGGGTTTATTTTCATGCTTCATCTATGCTATGACCAACCCTTATAATTTCTAATACATTGTGGCAGTTTTGAAAACAAAGTTCTTTCATATCTTATAGACTAATTTCCCCACTGTTGTTATATCTTATCTCTTGGTGAGATATAAAGTTTTAGTATTCAGCATATGAATTAGGTCAAAAGATAACTTATTTTCTTCCTCTTTGTTGGGTTTTTTCCTTTAAGGAAACTAGAATTCCCTTGTACCCAACCTAAAACAACTATATGCTATTTAATGCCTATGATAATTCCATAATTCCAGTAGTTCCACATTGTTTTCTAGACATTCAAATTCTGTTCTTCTCAAAGTACTATACTGACTGGGGATTATGTTGTTAACTCTAAGAAACAGAGAAATGATACCTGGCTCAGGTATGGTTCCTCTCTTTTGACATCATGAATGCTATTTCCTTTTACAGTCATACATTGCTTAACAACAAGGATATGTTCTGAGAAATGCATTGTTAGTCAATTTCATTATTATGTGAACATCATATGGTGGACTTATACAAACCTATGACATCATGTAGCACATGACGGTATGTAGATGGTACTGACTCAGTACAAGTGTTAAAATGGCCTTAAGTAGGATGCCTTTGACATTGCTCATTTGACTGCTTCTTTATCTATTCTGAATCATTTTTCATCTGTCTTCTAGCTTTTAAAGGTCACTATGATGTTGTCATTTAGTGATAGCAGCCATCCTTACTATGATTATAAACTTAAATAATTATGCTGATCAGAATTTCCACACTTCACTCCTTCCTATGCCTCATTTCAGTTGCATGTATTTACTTTTACCAAAAGTAAAATTTACTGCCGCTTCTTAAATTTCTTCCTAATGACCTACAGGCAGCCTCCCTCACAATTCCTGGAGCCCTCAGGCCAAGTACAGACTTTGTCTTATTTTTTTCCATATGCTCTTTTTTCCCATATGCTCTTTTTTAAGCATCTAAGACTATTTACTAATAATATCTGCACATTAGCAATATCTAAAAGGACAAGTAGTCTCTTCCTACAGCTAATGAAATATTAGCATCTCCTTTCTTATTACCTATAAAACTTTTGGTTTCTGCCTTTTTTTTCATTGCTGAAAGGGAGGATCAGTTCAGTGCAGTGATCTTCAAATTATACTCAGGGGTCCCCCAGGGTCCTTCTTAGAAGTAAATGGGCCGGGCGCGGTGGCTCACGCCTGTAATCCTAGCACTTTGGGAGGCTGAGGTGGGTGGATCACCTGAGGTCAGGAGTTCAAGACTAGCCTGGCCATTATGGTGAAACCCCATCTTAAACAAATAAATAAATAATAAAAAAATAAAAATTTTTTTTAAAAAAGGTAGAAGAAAAGGGTTGAAGGGGGACACCAGACAAAAGGAGAGTTTGAGGTCCAATTCATCTAGCCCACTGTAACTTTTTGTTTTCAACTTTTTATTTTTGAATAATTTTAAACTTACAGAAAAGTTTCAGGCATCGTATAAAGAACTCCTGTATGTGTTTGACTCACATTGTTAACATTTTGCCACAACTACTTTATCATTTTTTCTTGCCCTTCCTCTTCCCCCTCTCTTTGCTCTCTATGTATAACTTTCTTCTCTAAATCATTTGAGAGTAAATTGCAGATACCATGTTTCACTATCTCTAAGTACGTCTGTGTGCCTTTCCCAAGAACAAAGACATTCACTTACATGGCCAAAGTATAATAATCAAAATCAGGAAATGTAATATTCACACAATGCTATTATCTAATGTAATATATAGAACTTATTTAAATTTTTCTAATTGTCCCCAAATGTGCTGTATGGAAATTTTTGTTTTTCTGGTCCAGAATCATCCTTATCTTGTCTTTCACAACATTGACCTTTGTGAATAGTACATGCAATTTCCTTTGTAAAAATCCCTACATTTAGGCCTGTCTAATTTTTTTATAATTAGGTTTGGGTTATGTAGTTTTTATAGCAACGTTATATAAATGATGTTGTGTTCTTCTTAGTGAATCACATCAGGAAGCACATGATATTTTTTTGTTTGTCCAATTACTGGCAATGTTAACTTTGATTACTTAAGATGTTAAGGTAGTATCTACCAGGTTACTCTACCATAAAGGTCTTTGTAATTAAAAAAAGTATTTTATCCTTTATAATTAAAAAGTAATTTATGGGTAGATGCTTTTTAAGACCTTGTAAATATGCTGGTCCTCATCAGATTCTCATCCACTGAATTAGCATCTACTGATAACTTGTTTAACAGCTACACTGGCTGGAAAATGATGATTTTCTAACAGTATCATTCCTCCTACATTTATCAGTTAGTATCCTACTCACTTAAGTGTGAACTCATGATTTTTTTATTTTTACTTAATGAATTGAAATCTATTATTCTTGCTATTTTGAAACTCTAACTGTCTGAGTTTGGCCAGTGAGAAGCCATTTGGTCTCACTTCCATGGTTCTCTGACATGCCCCATCATAATTGAAGCTGTATTATCACTTTTATTTGTCTTCTATTTTGGGATTCATTTCCAAGCAAGACTTTAAAAAGTTCAAAATAGGTTGTTCTACTATAACACTTTTTCCCCAATTTGCCTCATTTCAAGTCAGGTTTGTATAAATAGTACCTAAAAAATAGAGAAGATAATAAACCATAGTAACCCCTTTGCTTCTGTGGCCACTTGGTCACCATACTCTTCCTGCAAACTACCAGGTATGCTCCTGCAGTAGGGGCTTGGGACCCACCATGCCCTCTGCCTGGAAGGTTCCTCCTGATGCCCCAGCAGGGTTCACTGCCCCATCTCCTTCAAGTCAGTTCTATCATCCTCATCTCAGAGAGGCCTTCTCTGACTACGTTATAGTAAAACTCATTTGATGACAACCCCTTCATTTCCAAGGTTTCATCCCAAAGCAAGACATTTACAATTGGTTTAACTCATCAATGGCTAAGTTGGAAACATGACATTAACCCTTGTTGGATTATTTTACCATAGTGGATTGACAAACTCCCTAACGTGCCTAATGACATACACATAGTCCTTCTGGGTCATGAAAACAAAATAGATGTTACCCACCCTACTGCTTCTGGCTTCCTTATTAAATACTATTTCCCACAGCATATCCACTTCAGTATCACTTTGTTATAGAATTAATCTAATGTTTAAAGCTGTTTGTCTCAATAAATATGAAATCAAATAAAAGCATCAACGAACAAGGATAAAGTAGAACTATTTGTCTTTTCCTAGGGAACGCTCTCTAAAAAAAAATCTTTTTAAATTGTAACACTCACCATTTGCTTTTCCCAAGTAAGTCTTTTAAAAAACAAACAGAAAACCCTCAACAAACAATCACATATAATAATCAACATCAAAGAGATACCCACAGGCTTTACAACTAGTCAAGTGCTTTCACTCAGTCATTCAGCACAGAAACTCACTTTTCCCTGAGCACATTCCTTCAATATACAATTCAAAGTGACTGCATTTCATCAATTAGGATTAAAGGTATCCTCACTAAAATGCACAGCAATTTCCATGACTTACTGGGTTTACCCAAAGCAAACTTAGTAAGTTATTACCATGTATTGCCAGTTTCTTAGAAGGTCTTAAGTTTCTCAAACAACTTACCTAGTCTTTTTCTAAAATCACTAACGTACTTCAGACATTCAAAAGTATATTATTTCCAACTGCTGTATTGAGGGCATGTAGGGTGACTGACTTTTCCCCTCGATGTCTGTTTTTCATTAAATTACTTAACAGAAATCTTTTAGGTTTTTGAGATGCTTCTGAACTACAGAGCCAATACATTTGTCAACATAGTAAATAAGTAAATGTTTCACAAGCCACAAAATGATGAGTACCTCATTATATAAAATAATGAACAAATTCTACCAACACGTAATATATTCCCAAAGTTAAAGGATGAACATTTAACCATACTTTAAATCCTGGCTACCTGGTCCAAATCCTGGAGTGGTTTAAACTCAAGGATCTAATGATACAGCCTACAGGCCAAATTTACCTTCCAAGATGCCTATTTTAGACATGGTAATATCTAGCTGATTTTAAGTGAAACTCATGATCTCCTAAAAAAAAAAAAAAACATGTAAATTCACTGGCCATTTGTTTTTTCATTATAATGTTAGCTATTCTCAGCACTAAATTGTTTAAGATCAAAAGCATACCACAGTATTTAGTCCTCTAACATACAAAGAAAACCTATATTCACCATACATGATAAAATATAACTTCTTGTTCTTGAGGTCTAGAACTGCACTGTCCAACATAGTAGTCAATAGCTACACCTGACTACTGAGCACTTGCAATGTGCCAAGTCCAAATTGAGATAAGCCATAAGTGTAAGATACACACCAGATTTCAAAGATTTAGCAGGAAAATAATCTAAAATGTCTCATTAATAATTTTCTGTTGATTACATGTTGAAACAATATTTTGATATATTGGGTTGAATAAAGTATATTATAAAAATTAATTTCACCTGCTTCTTTTTTCTTTTTTTTTAATGTGGCTACTAGAAATTTTTAAATTATGTATGTGGCTCACATTTGAGGTTTGCATTTATCTTATTTCTATTGAAAAGGGCTGGTCTACACAAAAGCAGGCAAAAGTCACAGTTACAAGGCTCATTCCATAGTGTGTTATAAATATCCTGCCAACACACAACTCTCATTTTCTGAGATTGTTAGTAGATCATCAAACCTCATAAGCAACAGACAACTAAGCCTAGGTGAATTCACTTTGTGATGAATAAAATTATAAATCTTACACATATTAAAATGCTATCATGATGGTTAATTAGACCACACAGTAACCACTTGCTGCAACTATCTTATAAGTAACTATCGTATTATTAATGTAGCCAAGGTTTGTGTATTTTAATGTTTTATTATCTCATTTCTATAAATACTATACCAAATATTCCTAAAAACAGCTTATTATCTACTAAATATCTTTATTTAGATATCATGAGCATTCCAAATACATTATATACAAAACTGAAAGCATTCTCTTACTGTTGAGAGGCAATTGTCCATGGTGTTTTTGATTGTCTCTGAGTAAAGACAGGATATGCTTCTGGGTTAGAGGGTACATTTGTTTCCTGACCGGCATAACAAAGATAATGTCATCCTCCAGGACAATGATTTTGGGCAAGTTTGGAAGTAGCCTCTTATAAGATTGGGAAGACACACGTCTACTGTGTACACAGCATCTATCTGGACCTCACTCTGTATCATGGGACTTAGGGAATCCTTAGAAGCATGAAGATCATGCTGCTTACTTTGATTTTAGTAATAAACTCTTAAATCTATCTAGGCTCACTGTTTCCTTCTCACAGGAGCCTACAGAAGTACGGTGGGCCAGCCTAGCAGCTGATTGTTGCTTGAAACTGCTTGACACTCACTTTTGCTTTTACTTTTTCAGTCTTTTCACAAGCATCACTATGTACCCACTGCCCAAGTCAGAAACCTGACCATCAATCTTGACTCCTGCCTCTCATTCACCAGGCCCACCATATCCAGTCAATCGTCAAGTCCTAGTCATTCTATCCTCTTAATTTCTCTCAAATTATCTATTTATCTCCATTCCCACTGATTTAACCCTAGTCCAAATCATTATTCCCTCATGTAGATGCTTAATTTGTGCCACTACATCAGTGTTACCCCACTTCACTCCATTTGTCATATTACAGCTGAATTGATCTGATTTGTCATTTCTTTTTTATTATTGCATTTTAGGTTTTGGGGTACATGTGAAAAACATGCAAGATTGTTGCATAGGTATACATATGGCAGTGTGATTTGCTGCCTTCCTCCCCATCACCTATATCTGGCATTTCTCCCCATGCTATCTCTCCCCAACTCCCCACCCATCACTGTCCCTCCCCTATTTCACCCCCGACAGACCCCAGTGTGTGATGCTCCCCTCCCTGTGTGCATGTGTTCTCATGGTTCAACATCCACCTATGAGTGAAAACATTCGGTGTTTGATTTTCTGTTCTTGTGAACCTGGAAACCATCATTCTCAGCAAACTGATTTGTCATTTCTTTGACCTCAGGATAAAGTCCAAGCTCCTTACAATGACAAAGTATTTCAAGACTAGGACTTACATAGAATGTTTCTTGAAATTCCATTTGTGACTATTTCACCTGAGGGGAAAGGAGGTGGAAGAGAAGGAGAAAACAATACAATAGTCCCACTTCTAACATAAAAGACTTGGGAGCAAAGGATAAGCCTGGTTCTATGACCTAGAAAGAACACTCTAAGAGAGCTGAACCTTAGTGGAACTGCCAGAGTTCCTTTCTTCCTTTTTCATATGAAGATTTGATGGTTACTCTATAAGGTGATGACTATGCAAGGATTGTAATAATTATTTCACAATGTAAACATATATCAAAGCATCATGTTGTATACCTTGAATATATACAATTCTTATTTGTCAATTATACCTCACTAAAGCAGGGAAAAAAGATTTGAATCTGATTAAACTCAATGACATCTTCTGTTAGAACTGGTAACCAAAAATTGACCCAACATAGACAAGAAGGGACATTATTACTTTACTCACTGCCAACCACATTTATTTTGATGAAGATAATGTACCATCTGTAAGCAATATTTAATTCCTTGTTATTAGATGTTTGAATGGACAATGAGTGCCACATCTTTTCCTTTTAGTTCATGGCATCCAATAAAAAAGTCTTTTCTTTTAAAATGCCTGATATTAAGCATGCTCGAATCAGTGGAATCATGTAGATGAAATGGGGAAAGCTCAGACAAGCCTCCATCCTCATCTCTCATCCATAATGTTTCCTCTGCCATGAACAGGTTTTCCTGTTTTTTTTTTTTCTGTCTGATTAAGCCCCTCTTCTTCATCACTTAGCTTAAATTTTATCTCCTCCAGGAAGCCTTCTCTGAATCTCAAAGTAGAATTAGATGTCTTTCCTTTGAATTCCCTTAGCATTTAATACTTGCTCATCATGTTTCAACATTTAGTACACAGTATTTAAACTATGTATTTTCTTCTCTCCCTAACTAGATGGTAACTCCTTGAAGACAACGTGTCTAACTCATTATTTTGACCCCAGTGGTAGCATAATGCCTAGCACATAATAGACACCCAATCAGTAATTATTGATTACAAATAGATAAATAAATAATTCGATAAGTCTTTGGAAAATAAAAAAGGGAATTCTAACCTTTTTAAAAAGAAGGAGAAGGAGGGTTTTGGCTGTGGAGTTTTTCTTGTCTCTCCCCACATTCTTTCTTTCCCTCAATCCTTCTCTCTTTCTCTTTCTCTCACTTTCTCTCTCTCTCTCTCTCTCTCTCTCTCTCTCTCTCTCTCTCTCTCTCTCTCTCTCTTTCTCTCTCTCTCTCACACACACACACACACACACACACACACACACACTTAATTTTATGTAGCAACTTGACTGGGCCCAGATACTTGATTAAACATTGTTTCTGGGTATGTCTGCAAGGATATTTCTAGATGAGATTAACTTCTGAATCAGTAGACTGAGTAAAGCAGACTGGTCTCTCCAACGTGGATGGGCCTCAGGCAATCCACTGAAGGCCTGAACAGAATAAGAGACTGAGTAAGAAGGAATTCTTTCTCTCTACCTATCTTCAAACTAGGACATTAGTTTCTCCTGCCTTCAGACTTGTACGTAGACTGGAACTTACACTATTGGCTCTCTTGGTTCTCAGGCCTTCAGATTCTGGCTGGAACTATACCATGAGCTCTCCCTGGTCTGGATTTCTCAGACTCCATCATCAAGTAAGCCAGTTTTTTTATAGTAAATCTCTCACTCACTCACTCACTCTGTCTCTGAAGATACCTATATCTTATTGGTTCTGTTTCTCTGAAGCACTTTAATACACACACTGACATGCCATGTCAGTGATGTGTTTCCTAATTTCAGCAGCCTTCCCACTCCTACATTTGCAGTTTCAGAGCTACCAGCTTTTATGAGGAAAAATAAATGTATTTTTTCAAACACTTGTTCATGTAAGGCAGAGTTGAATATAATCTCTACATAAATCAAGTTTGTTTCTAGGCAAGGAACACTAAGATGGCAAAGAAAAGATGACAGCTAAACTGGAAAATTTGTTCATTAACTTTTTAGCATCAAAGATCTTTATCTGTGCCCACTATCCTTCCCAAAGGCCTGAGGTACTTCCAGCCTCTGGTTCTGAATTTTGAAAATAGAAGCTTAGAACGCTGCTAAGCTTTCTTCCAAGACCTTACCTACAGTGACCAACACAGCCCCTCAAAAAAGTCAAAGAAGAGGGACCTTCAAGCCAACTGATGTACCATGGCAGGTTTCAAGAATGCCTGTGACGCCCAGCAGTGCAAGCAGCTGAGGGAAATTCTGGTAGCCTAGAGGTCATTAGTGGTTGCCCCCAATTTAAATTGTCAGAGTTTTCTTTGGCCACTATCTGAAACCAAACAATTTCAGAAAGATCATGGTAGCTCAACTTTATAACCAAGTTATTTCATAACATAGAAAACAAAGTTCTTAAACTTGCAGAGCCTTCTACTTCAGCATAAGAATAAGTATATCATCACTGTGGAGATAAATCTGTGATCTAGGAATGACTCTGCAACTTTAAAGCCCCCTGAGCCTCGGCTTCCTCTTCAGCATAAAAAATATTTAAAAAACAATGCAACGTGCCTACAACATTACATAATAAGTTTAGATGTTCAACAGAAGGCAGCTATAATTTTGTAAGATTCTCCAGAAGAAGTGAGCAAAGTACAGCCTGCCTGGCAAACTACCATTCACCTGTTTTTGTAAATAAAGTTTTATTGTAATACAGCACACTTATGACTACTTCTGTGCTACAGTGACAGAGTTGAGCAGCAGAAAGAGTAATGACAGTTATAACAGAGACTGTATGACCCACAAAACCTAAAATATTTACTCTCTGGCCCTTTACAGAAAATGCTTACTGACTCTCACTTATAAAACAGATTTCACTACAACTTGTAAAATAATATGATCTCATGTTAAACCATTAATAAACCCAATAAGCTTTCCTGCCTTTTTCTTCACAGGGTTCCAAATCATCTGATAAGATAGACCCAAATTGTTTGATAGGAGGAAAAAAATCAAAGGCATTTTAATAGTCTTTAGGATGCTCAAAATGTGGTCATGAAACTCACACAAAGACATTGGCTGGTCTCGTGGCTCTTTCTCCTTGTCTAGCCTCAATTGTGAGTGGATATAGCCAAAACCTCTGATAGGGTTGGTGATGCAAAACAATATGCAAAATCCAACTCTCTATAGCTACCTGATAGCTTAGGTGTAGTACTTGCATAATAAAGAATAGGCTCACATGATTATTGAACCTGACAAGTCCCAAGATCTGCGGTCAGCTGAAACCTGGCAAGCTTGAGACCCCAAAATAACTGATGTTTTAGCTCAAGTCCAAACGCATGAAAAGGCCACTGTCCCAGCTCAAGCAGTCAAATAGGAATTCCGTCTTGTTCAGCCTTTTTGTACTATTGAGATCTTCAGCTGACAAGCTGAAGCCCACTGGCATCAGTGAGGGCCACTAATTCAAATGTTTCATCTCATCCAGAAACTCCCTCACAGAGATACTAGAATTCAGTGTGACCAAATATGTGGGCACCCCGTGGTACAGTTAAATTAACACCTAAAATGAATAATCATAGTAGGTAGAGAGCTATTAATCAAATTTTCTATCAAGTAGAAAGTTTAGGACTCTTGCAGATACCAACATATTTATGAAGATTTTTTTATTGTTATAGCATAGATGGATTAAAAATTAGGATTTTAAAAAAACTGTTTACATAAAATATCTAAGGGAGAAACTGTACACTCTAAAAAACTAGAATTTCATGTTACAATTAGTACCTCCTGAAGTTACATACACTAATATGTAAACAAGTTTATATATAACAGAGGGTAAAAATTTATCCAGGACTCTTGAAAATAGTAGGCTATATGCTAGATTACATCCTTTTCTTGAAGGCATCTGGATACAGCACAGTGTAGATAATCTTACTTTACTCCGTAACTCCAAAAACCCAATAGGAAAATGTGTTTTAATCTTGCAAAATACCAATACCAGAACACTTATTAACTATATGTGCCTAATATTCACCTTCATATATTTTTACTAAACCTAGTATTTCTTCACCTTTGAAAACTTGAGACAATATAAAGTATCGTGATTATAGAAATTAATCATCCATAGACAATTTACTATAAATCTTGCTACTTTATTTTAAAATTCTGTTGTAAACCTCACATTTTATAAAAGGTAAGAGAAGTATTTTTACAGAATTGCAATGATTTCTTCTGTGTTTCAAACCCAGCAGAGTAAACACAAGTTAAGAAATTCTACTTCCAGAGACCTGCTTACATTACTGATTATTGTCTTGCATAAACAAGGAAATACCTATTAGAGCTCTCTACTAAGACCAACATCAAATAGTTGGGGGAAGATACCTAATGGAAACAATAACTGTTTAAAGACCCTTTGATTTATCCTTGTTCAACACCAAAAAGAAATAAAAAATAATATATCATGTCTGTATTTCTAGATTAGTGTTTCAACTTGGAATATCAGTATGTAGCTCTGATAGACTATGAGGAAGGGTTGCAAAGAGATTTTAGTGACCTCAAAGAATTTGTTTTGTAGCATGTTGAAATCTGTTAAGCACCTTCTGAATACAAATGTTCATTTTCTAACTCTTTTCTAGAATTTTAAGTTAGAAATAGATGGCTTTTTCATAAGGATCATGTACATGCTGAATGTTTTAATATCCGAATTTAGCAAAACCCAAAACACATTT